ATGAAAAATCACTTTAAAAAAGTGTATAAATACGAATCAGAGGAAGTGTACAGCTCATAATTGATTTCTATTAAGGGTTGAAATGTAACTCGCAGTTCCATTGCAAAGAATCTTTAATGGATTTGTGGACAAAATGTAACACTTTTATAGAGTTGGAAACCATTCAAATTATTCTTCAAAAACCTTGTTGCTATGAACATAAATTTAAAACTGGAAGAACGCCCTCTTCATACATGCTTTTACGTTTTGCTAAACTTATTTTATCACGATATTTCGCGGCGAAAAACGTAGAGAAGCCGTCAACCGTTACTTGCAGCTTGGACCAGAGATGACATTTTAGTAATTAATTTTACAAGATTTTCACGATCTTCATTTTTAAAGGTTCTTTGGTAAAATCCTCAACCTGTCTCAAAAAAAAAAAACACGAACACTATCCTTATATTACAATATCATTTCTTGAACAATCATAACACGTCGGACATCAAGGTCTACCAACTTAACATGTATTGGCACCATTCGTAGTCAAAGCCAGTTAACAGTTATACACCAATGTGCTTTATCTAGATGCGTCTTTACAGACTCATTTCAGTTCTGGAATCATCGTAACGCGAGGTCATTCGTCGACAAAACACACACAGACACGAGAACATACATCCATGTCCAAGCATGAATTGGAATCCGCGTCCTTTTAATTGGGTTTTTAATTCGATAAGCGTGTGCAACGAGCATCCACACTTGACTATTTCGTGTTTCTGGGTCGTCAACTAATGTAGGGATTTGTTCCGAAAGTGTAGTGCATGTAATATCTCGGGAGATTACGATGTTTCACCGCTTGTGAGATTTTGCGACGACCGACACGTCGGTTTGCGGGTGTTTCCCACCTCCAGGTGTCTGCAGTCACTGCCTCCACCAAGACAAGCTCCGAGCTCTCGTCAAATCTGCTGACATGTATGGTGGTGTAAGTGCGTGTAAGGTGAGAGAAGGGGACAAACATATGGAAAGAAAGATCCCACGGGGTTCGTATCCCGTTTGTTAGGGCCCTGCTTCGACGTTCGTGCCCTTTGAAATTCGAATGTCTTCGATTTAGATAAATTGAATTGAATCCACGGTAAACAACCGATCGAATCAGCCGGCCGTTAGAATTTTCTAGGTAGCGTAAATACACAGTATGTAGCTAATGTAAAAAGACACCATCATCGGGTCTTAGCCCTAGGACATCCCAGTCAAAAATACTGCAACGATGAAGTTGTTTCCCTGAGCTATCTCACTTGGTATTCTAGTCGGCGCCAACTTCTTTCAATGCATTTAATTTCATTCCCCAAATATTAAGGAAATAATAAACTATGTATCTTAACATATCAAAAACTCAACTGGAAGATAATTTTGAATCACACTGTAATTTGAACCCTTCAAGGTCTTATAGATACGCGGATATATGGTGGTAGTTATAGAGCCCATCTGTGCGATTGCTTAATAAGGAATCCCTCCACTCTCCCTCCACCCTCTGACAGCGTAGGGTGGCGAATTCCAACGCCAGACATTAATTTAAAAAACTGCTTATTGGATTAGCCTGAAAGTATTACAATATATATTTTGAAGGTCCCGGAATTTTCCATTAAAATAACAAAAATAAAATCAATTATAGATTCCTATGAACACGGGCAGAATATATAGAAAAATTGTTTCAATGTTGATGGGAAAATGCGCTGACGATGCGATACTATATAGAACAGGTCGTCTGCTATTAAATATTTGCTATACACGCGTAGCCTTATGAAACAGTCACCTTTTTAATATTCTGGATATGTACAGAACTGTTCGGCATAGTATATACTGTACTATATTACTACAGTACTCGTAAAAAATATTTTTGTTAAAATATTTAATTTGTTGCGGTGTTACCCGAAAGTATTTTACGGTGGTTGAATTCGTCCCACCTATGTAATTATAGTCTAAAATACTCCCATGAACATCTGGACCCTCACACAACGACCTGCACATATAAGGCAGTACAGAGGCTGCATAGATGTTGCCACCGAACCATAAATTGAATTGAATTGAATTGAATTGAATTAATGCCTTATTTTACGTGGCGAGACTCGGGCCATTAAGCCCGCTCTTCCGTCTGACCCCGCAAATTTCGCTACGCTCCTTTCACCGGAAGGAGATATTTCTTGGGCGAGAAACAGGCGATTTTTGAATTTAGCTCAGATGCGTCATTTCGGCTTGAGAATCTTTTACATGCAAGTAAATCTAACATGGGCCAGCCGGCTTTACTTCCCCTCCGAAGGAAGGCGTACGAAGGCCCTTAAAAATCCATGGCTTCGATCCACCATCGCAAACGATACAAATTCTTTCAGGGACGATGAGCCGATGATTTTCCAAAATATAAAATTTGATCTGTCCGTCGATTGGCAGAGCACTGGCCCACTGCCCCGAAGGCGACGTCCGAGCGCTGGGTGCGGGCAGGGATCTCCCCTTCTTCCCTCATTCGAGCAGCGCGGCCGCGGTGTTGCCGTAGTGGTCATTTGCCAATACATAAAGCGCAATGTCCAACAGCCGAACTGCGTCGTCAGCAGCGCGAGTAAGTGATTCGTGATAATGAGGTGGTGTGCTCGAACCCTCGTACCTGTACAGGGGAAGTGTACAGACATAAAGCATACATGCGATTCTAACGTTCGGTTTCGATAACACGGTCTAATAATGTTCCGTTATTGCAAACTGGGATACAGATTGAGTACATCGTCCTTATTTGAGCCAATTAGGATAAATAAACAATGCTAATACTCGTAGATTGTGTCCATATGGACGTTTCTTCTTGTAAATGTACTTGTGATTGCTTTCTTGGCTAATATCATACTAACCGAAATGTGAAGAAATGAATATAACACAAGTTATAGATGAAGTGAGCGCGCATTGAAATGAAGAATACTTTATTTCAAACATTAAAGTGTAATAGTGTAAAGCAATACTGCTAGTCAGTGCATTGCAGTTTTTTGCTGGTACTCATTCTAGTGTTTCTTCTTCCAACGCCGTACGTTCGACAGCCTTACGCTCCAGATGAGCTGATTCACAGGTCAGGACACTCGCCAAGACAGCTTTGCTTCGGTCCTTGCGGAAGAAATAGACAGGACATGTGCGATAGCATTGCAGAAATAACGAAAGGAATAAAAATAAGCAACATTTTAGGCTAATTTTTCATTTTTTTATATATATTCCCTTCACAAGCAAATTGATTATAGTGTGAGAAAATGTAATTAAAAAATGTTTTACAGAAACTATGGATCGGAAGAATGTAAATTCCCTTTCAGATCAATATCGCTCTTTTTTCTAAAATAAGATTGATCGGTTGAAATTGTTACTTTAACATTCTGAATTTGCTGCAGGGATACAAAGTATTTGCACAATTTTCGTCATCCTAAAGTATTCGCACTTTTCATTTTTTCTTTTCCCCAAAACTTGAACTACTTGTTTAGATGCTTCAACTATGCAGGATCTTTTTTTATGATTTATTTATAAGGGTCGCATAGACATCGAAGTCCTTAGCGACCAAGTTATTTACTGCAGAAGTTGACATAGCAAATGACAACATGAAAATTAATATACATAGCAAAGTAAGAAAATAAAAGTAAGTTTACATAACAAGTTAACATAAAGTCAATACAATACTTATTTCTTTCAAAAACTCCATTACTTTAATAATTTCAATATTATCATTCAGTAGCCATTTAATATAATTAGACATAACATACTTTCTTCTCAGATTGTTATATTTTGGATACTGTATACGAATATTTGATATAGTTAGAATAATTTTACAACAATCACATAATTTGAGATTTTCTTTGGTTAGCAGATATTTCTGTATTAATTTTGAATGACCAATTCGTAAACGAATGAGAATACTTCGTTCTTTTCTATTTTTAAATAAAAGGACATATTCGCAGCATCTTTAATACTGCTTGTTGCACTTAAAATCGTGACTCAACTGGCGTAATCAAAATTCGCATCAGACGCTCGGTTGCTCGGCTGGTCGCATTTCGCTCGTGTCGTCCAGGCAAGCGAATTCTAAGGATTTTGTGTAAACAACCACGGCGCTCTGGTAAAATCGCCTCGTACAGGACACTATATACTGACTCGATTTATTACAAATGAGAAGATGACTTCAGGAGTGTGGAATATATTAGTGAACAACTATCTGAATATTTCTTGCCGCACTGTAATTCATATTTCATCACCAAAATGTGGGGAAAATAATTTTGCACCGCAGATATTAAATTCTTGTTCTTTGCATCTTTATTGATTTATGAATCTAATGAGGTTATGATTCATAAAATCGAATACTTTATTAGCTTATTATTAGTAATTCAGTCTAAAGAAAGTTCAAAACAAAGCCGAGAAACAAAAGGAACCTCAACTAATCAAGTTACAAATACCCCCCCCCCCCATTACATGCCAAATTTGGAAAAATATTAATTTCAGCGCTGTTATCTGAAATTCTGGATACTAGTAGAACACTTTAAGAGAAATTCATAGGTGCACAGCAAACTCCAATCAGACGAATAGTTAACGAGATAGGCGTGTAACAAAAGGAACCTCAACTGATCAAGTTACAAAATACCCCCCATTACGTGCCAAATTTGGAAAATTTTTAATTTCAGCGCTGCTATCTTAAATTTTGTATACAAGTAGAATGTGTCGCAAGCCAGCAGTTAGCCAACCGGCAAAGTCTGACAGCCGAACCAAAATGCCAAACACATGCATGTGTCATTAAATTAGAATTATTTGTTGAAGCATTCATTCTGGCTTTGCTCGATTGTGTCCATTCTGATGGCGCGTCTGACAATCAAACTAAAATGCTAATAAATACATTCAATCATGTGTCAAATAATATATTTTTAATGGTATATTTTGAAATAATTATTCTGACTTTGTACCAAGCCAGCGTTGCATGTTTGCTCATGTCCATTCTGATGGCGTGCGTTTGCGTGTGTGTACAGGCCAGCTGCCCCCCGAGGAGCCAGAGCCCGAGTTCTTGGCGCCGCTGGAGAACATGACGGTGACGCAGGGCCGCCACGTGTCCTTCACGTGCGTCGTCAACCACCTGGGCTCCTACAAGGTCAGCCTCAATTGCTTTCTACATTTTAACCTTTATATTTCATGTCGGTGATGCCATAGTCGTTGCCACCAGCGGTGGGGGGGGTTCGTGGCATGGGTACCACGACGAAACTTCCACTTTGAGTTGTTGATCACTTCTCCACAACGTTGCCCTGTGCGTTTACACATGACATACGATAGGGGGGATGCAGATAAGTAAATTTAAGAATGTTATTTTTTAATTTTTGTAATATTTTAATTACATTTCAACGTCGTTTCCACAAACGCTGTAGTAAATTTGATCTTTCTTTACCAGCCACGTTTTCAAATTCAATCTTATGTTTCAACCCAAAGTGTTTTGTATGTTATACTTCATTTGAAGTCATTGATTACACACTAAACATTTTGAATGTGTACCAATATTGCCATCATAGGAACGCTTCTTGATAATCTAGATGAAAATATTTTAAATCCCTAGTACAATCTGCTGCAGGTTTTATAACGCAATCACTATCAGAAAACAGAGGGTATACTACCAACAGTTTCATTTCCCGACGCTAATTGTCCAGAGAATCTTGTGGCATGCCATGGAGCCAGGAAGCGTTCCACTGCAGCCAGTAGGAGACCTTGACATCACTGTTTTCCGGTATAATTTCAAAAATTGGAACGTTCCACAATAGTTTTTTATTTATTTTCTGCATAATTTACAATCTGTTCCTATCGGAACAATACGCAAATAGTGTAAACAGATACATTTCCAACGTGAACTTTTCATGACATTGAAAAATTTCATTTACAAAATCGGTATGGCAAATTTAAAATACTCTCTCTTCTGTCTTTAGATATGCTCACTGTTATCTAGAAGGCTTGTTGAGACGTGATTTTAGTGGTTGTACAATCTTCTCTGGTATGGTAGGCTCTTCGTGGCGATTACTTCCTCCAGCAAGACGATGTCGAGGTCTCTGTATATCATCTTGTTTGTCACGTACAATGGTGCGTTGCATAGTTTTCTTAGTGTTTTAGCTTCGAATCGTTTTAGAATTTCTAGATTCGATTTACTGGAAGAGCCCCACAATTCAATACCATAGGTTCATGTTGCTTTGATTAGTTTTATAAATCTGTATTTTGTTATGCAAGGACAGCTTTGATTGTCTGTTTATTAGCCATGACAA